ACCCTCACTCGAGGGGGCGAGCTCTCCCGTGCCGTACCGTCGCCGGGCGGCAGCTGGGAATTTCACTTGTTGGAGCTCACTGAGCCCTGAAGCACTGAGGTGGTGGGGGTATCAATGAACCTCCGTGAGGGCATTGAGGGAACAACCGACCTGACTGATGTAGCCTCTTCACTTGAGGGGGCGAGCTCTCCCGTGCCGTACTTTTGCCGGGCGGCAGCTGGGATTTCCGCTCGTCGGAGTTCACTGAGCCCTGAAACACCAAGGGTGGCAGGGGTATCAATGAACCTCTGTGAGGGCACTGAGGAGGATTGGGCACCGTATACTGAGGTGTTATCCTTTCCTCCCCAGGTGGGCTGCCCTCAGGGACCTGACAATGGTAGGACCGTTTAGCCGAGGTCCTCTTAGACAAAATAACGGTCCGCAGATCCGTTTTCGGTCTAGAAGACCCCGACTGAGAGCGTCGCCCCGACCCCCGATCTTCCGTGGAGGGGTGCGGGTTGCAACGCTCTGTTTTTGAGACTGGCGATATGAGGAGCTTGACGGCTTGGGCTGCTCCCGCTCAGCAGCCCCACCACTGAGCAGGTCAGCCTGGTATGCTTGTAACACCGCCATGGTGTGCAAACATGCGCCAGCCTGACCTGCCGCCATATAAGCTTTCCCAACCAGACTCAATGTAAGCCTAACGGGCCTGGTGGGAAGCTTCGGGGCCTTCAGGGACAATGCTGAGGATGGGGAGAGATAGCTCGCAAGCGTCTGCTCCACCACTGGCATCGCTCCATATCCCTTATCATTCAGCCCCACGATGTTCTTTTGACTAATTCGAGACTGTGGGGCTGTAAATACGGGATAAGTATGGTTTCTCCCACGATCTTGACACCTCAGCATGGAGATCGGGGAAAAACGGAAGGCCCCCGTCGTGAAGGCTGTGATCTGGATTCAGGAAACGCTCGTCTAATTACTTTTAGGACGAGCGTCCTGTTTCTTGGCTGGCCAAATTATATTATATTTTGGTTACTGCACAAATCACACCTCATACGCGAGAGACTGTGGTGGCGAGTCCACAGTCTCCTCTGTCTCGACACTCAACACATCCACCTCCTTGGAGGAAGATAGATGAAGCGTCTGGCTCTCTCTCTCTGGGGGGGTGGGAAGAAACCGCAGCGCGGGCTTCCGAACACTGAGAGAGAGCCGCGGATCTAGCCGGTGAGGACAGAGAAAAGGATGAGCCCATCTCGGATCCCTCTGCTAAATCCACCTGCGATCCCCACGACAACAGTCTACTCCGTGCCTTGGCAACAGCGGGACCACTGCCTCGCAGCCCCCCCGTGACGTCTCGCTACTCCATTGGGCTGATTTGACACGTGCTTCAGAACGCGGTCACGCAGAGGCAGTTCCTGAAGGGGAACTGGTGTTCTAGCTTTTTAGCATAGTTCCTCTTGGCCACTCTAATCTCCTTATTCAGTGTGTTTCTGGCCTGATTGTACAAGACTATGTCCCCCCTTTTGTAGGTGTCCTCTTTGGCCTGACGAAGATGACGAAGTTTTGCTGTAATGGTTTGTCATTGTTGAATGTTAAATGAGTCTTGGTAGGGATGCACATGTCTTCACAGACACTGATATATGATGCTACAGATTCCGTGAGCTCGTCCAAATCGTTGGTGGCAGCTTCAAAAACACTCCAATCAGTGCAGTCGAAACAGGCTTGTAATGCCTGCTCTGTTTCGTTGGTCCATCTCTTTACAGACTTTACCAGAGGTTTAGCAGATTTAAGTTTATGCCTGTAAGTCAGTATAAGATGAACCAGGCAGTGGTTAGAGAGTTCTACAGCTGCTCTGGGGCCCGAGCGATTGGCATCATTTATTGTGGAGTAACAATGGTCCAGTATATTACTGTCTCTGGTGGGACATGTAACATGCTGTCTGTATTTTGGCAGTTCACGGGAAAGATCTGCTTTATTAAAGTCCCCGAGAATGATTAAAACAGAGTCCGGGTGTTGTTGCTCTGTCTCTGTGATCTGATCAGTGAGTTTCTGTAAAGCTGAGCTCACATAAAGTGCATCCATCCATCATAAAAAGTGCTCCACACTTAATAAAGGTTAATAAAGGCCTCCTGAAGTGAATTGATGCATTTGTGTAAGAAAAATATCCATATTTAAAACATTATAAACCGTAATCTCCAGCGTTAACTGTTAACTGACTAATCCCATCAGCAAACTTTATATGTTGGTGTTTGTTGGCGTTTTATGTGATCAGTGTAAACAATTATTTGATTAGAGCTTTTATGTAGCATTTACCCATATGCTTGTTTAGCTACAGGCATGCAATATGGTTAGTCTTTGTAATGGGCTCGTAGGTCTGGCGACAGATATTTCGCTACACAAGACAAAACTAACGGTGCTATACAGTCAATAGCGATCATTTAGATCCATAGTCTGTAATCAAATAATCCCTTCGTGGACTGTAGCATTTGTTATAATGATTACATGAAAAGCATGGATATTTTGTGCATATATGAAGCTTTGGGTCTGATTCAGATTCAAATTGATAAGGCAATATTGTTTACAATTAGGGCTGTCATCGTTAATGCATTAACGCATGCGATTAATTTTACAATCCTTAACGCGTAAAAAATAATTTAACGCAAAATTACTAAAGCACAATTTCTATTCTAATCCTTTAACCCAATTTTGCTTCTCTGCTTGCGATTAGATCATTTTAAGCCGCTAAACTCCAGAAAAGTTTTCAGTCCAATGATCCAGTAAGCGAATGCATTCAAACAACGCTAATATAAAGGACACCAGGCTGATTACATCAGAGATTGCAGAGAGAACAGAGACTTGCGTTGCATTTTAAGTGAATAATTAATTCCAGTGTGTTTCACTTTGAAACACAAGCTCTTTCATATTCTGTGATTGTCTCTGAACAGCGCGAGACCTCACATGTCACGACCTTGTGTGAAGTACAAACTGAACGGATTGTCAACACATCCCACCGCTGTATGGCCAGATGAGACACAAACTACGTTTTCTCGACTGGATAACCAGTCTCGCTAGTAAAGTTTTGATAGATGAAGACTGCAATCAAGGTAAAGACGAGTGAGTCCGTTATAATAATGCGTGTATGAGTGCTCTTGACGCACTGATCGCACATTGTATTTATGCACAGGCACAGACATTTCCGTACATCCACGTTGTTTCCACACACATTCACAAATGTTTTGATTTGTCATGTTTATGTGTCAAGGCGCCGGTCTGATCTGGGTTTGTTTATGTTGTCCTGGTCTGTCTGGAGCACATGGCTGTCAGTTGGTAATTATGTTGCCATGTGCTCTATTGTCTATTGTTACCCTGCCCATCTCGTTATCTTATCTCGTTAGGGGTACACCTGTTTCTAATCAGTAGTCACCCTTATATTCTCCTCTTGTTTTCTGTCCTGTGCCAGATCGAAATCTCTGCTCTGCTGAGTTAACCTGGCTTTTGTCGCTGTTGACTGTTATCCTGTTTTGTCTTGCCTAGTTGCCTTAGCTTTTATTTTACTTTTGAGATTAGGGGTTTTCTTTTGATCCAGCCCAGTTCTTTCTAGTTCCTAGTTTTGGCTCCAGCCATTTAGTTTTGTGTTCGTTCTTTCTCTTCCCCTCTACAGCCCCATCTGCCCTGGCTGCTGGAGTTCCTCTCCCTCTCCCTCCCCCTCCCACCATCGCCACTCTCTGGCCCTTGGAATTACTTGGAGAGCTGGACTGTCTCATTGCTCGTGGACTGTTACTTGTGGACATTTGCTCTGGAAACCCCCTTTTCCTAGAGACCTGCTGTTGACCTGACTTTCTCTTCCCCGGACCTGGTTGGGATCTCCCCAGATTACCCTCTCGGACAGTGGCATCGTCGTTCCTGTTTGTGTTGAATCTCAATAAAATCCTTGTTACCCCTGCAACTGATTCCTCTTCCTTTACCATCCCTGACATTATGTTGCTGTGTTTAGTTATACGGAATGGATCTGTGTACAGTAGTAGATATATGCAGTCAGCAGGCGATTGGTTTAGGTTTAGGTTTTTTGGCATCTCCATGTGGTCCTGTTCGGTATCACAACTTGGCTTCTCTAAAATGTAAAAGTTTTTTGCTGTTGCACTGCACACATACTATAAAATACAGATTTTTTTTTTCTTCTTTCATGTGCTTATATGGGTTCCTTATATCATTTGGTTCATTGGTGTCCTTTTGGAGTTTCTAAGTGTCCTTTTTTGGAAAGATATCTAAATTTATCTTGAAAAAAGCTTGCAGAAAATCTAGATTTTTGAGAATCACCCTTCAATCTTTTGGTTTACTTTGCTGGCTATAGCAAATTATGACAAAAAAATTTGAAACAAGATAAATGGTCAATGCTTAATTTCATGAAGTGTGTGATTAATTGCGCTTAATCACAGAAAAAGGATGTGATTAAAAAAATGTAATCGATTGACAGCCTTGTTTATAATACACTGGAGCACATGCAACTCCCTGTTATGGTAAGGGGCGTAACGTTGCCAGACAACACGCACTAGGCAGTTAGCGAATCACAACACACCGGGCCAGCTGACCAATCTGAGCCCATTGTGTATTTCTAAGGAGGGGGGGCTTCAGAAAACCAGGAACTCAACAGAGCGCTTTAGGAGAACAGAAAAGAGGTGTAGAATAAAGGTAAAATATGTGAAAAATAATGTGATTTTTTAAAAACGTAGCATAAAACACATGCTACAGTACACCCCATAAACACAATCAAGCCTTCCAAAATAGCCGGTTGACCACCCCTTTAATGTAACTCAGATTGTATTTATCTAAAAGAAGAAAGTCATATACACCTAGGATGGAATCATGGGGAAATTTTCATTTTGGGGGGAACTATTCCTTTAACTAAGGTACTTAACCTGTTTGTAAAGCGTTACATTTTTTTATATTTACGTATTACTGTTTTAAATTCATTGGTTCAGATTTATCCGTAAGAAAGATATGGTTTGTGTCTCTTCCCAAAGGCCAAAAACAAATTTAAGTGTCATTTTATATTAACATCATATTAATATCATAAAATATTACAGTCCAAGATAATTGTGCTATGTTTTTGCTTATTGCAACTTTCACCTGCAGCCTCTAATGAATTAATTTCACTAGAGCAGTGACAGAAAAAGAAAAAAAACACTTCTTCCTAACCACCGCAGCTGTTAGAGTTGCATGATGCATCTTTACTGATGATAAACTCAGCAGAATGTCTGCTGAGCCGAGAATATCTGAAGTTTATTTCAGCATATTAAACTTGAAACCAAGCACTACAGTTAGGGCAGTTGGCACTCTGCTGTATATCCAAAGAAACTGACTGTAACTGATGGACCACTGCATTGCCAGAGGTTTCTATAAAACTCTACCAAATAGAGAGAGGGAATGTAATCCAATCAGAAATGTACTTTTATATGCAACATATGTTATACAGCTTGCAGCAATGGCATGCGTTTGTTGTTTAAAGACACAGTGCAAATGATGTCTTGCTCTGCTGTAGTGCCGAACAAAAATTAACACCATTATACAGTCTTGCCTCTATTCATGAATGTCTAAAAATGCCATGTGGTTCCTGTTGGAGATATGATGTACTTTATGTCATGACTTACACCGTGTCTATACAGCAAGCGAGCAATGCGACAAAACTAGCTAGATTGCTATAATTATAATCAGCAAAGCTGTCTACACTGCAAGTGAGTTTAACACAATCACAGGCGACAAAAAGTATGGGGCTATTATATTTTTGCATAAACAATTCTTAAATTATCTTTTGATAAAAAGTTGTAAACTGCTTTTAAAAAGCAAAGATTGAAATGCTGAACCTGTATATATAAAGTATACAATATATTAAAAGCATGTTGTCAGTCAAATACATCATATTGTTGATCATTAAAAGCACAACGCATATGAAGCTAAATATAATGGCCAATGGCTGACTTATTTCCATGTCTCATTGAACACATAACATTTAAATGCCATTTAACAACTTTAATTTGAGATGGTAATCATTTCACAGTAAACCAGTGAGCTGATGACTTTGTTTGACCTCTTCAATAATGACCTGGGTGTGAGAAAATAGTGTACAAAAGGCCAGCGTTTTAAGTGACCACACAATTTCTCAGCGGTTAGAGGCTTGTGTAGGAGTTGTGGGTAAAAGGATTTAAGAACAGTGTCCCACCCGCTTACCCAGCTGGTCTTAACTCTAATGAGGCTTTAACCAGGATGTGGGATGGCTTTCTTCATACAACCTACAGGTCAGCACCACACAATGAGGCCCATAACAAAGACTCTGTAGATCTATTGGTCCAAACTGCCATTTTAACTCAATTGTGTGGTCAGCAATTCACTTGAATGGAGTCCAACCATATAACATTCATCACATGTGAAAGGACACATTATAGACTTTGACAACTGGCTTTACTTCTAGACTTATTGAGCTGTTTCCATTTTAAACCAGAGCTCCTTCATGAAATGTTTTGTATAATGAGTATGTAAAGAAAGCTCATGTCAGACCTTAAATGGGTTATTTCACAGTAAAATTATTTATTTTCTCAAATTATCACTTGAATTAATAATGACTGTTTTTTTATTATCATTTCAGGGTGAACTATGCCTTTGGTCATGAACCAACTCTTTGCAACATGTAGTATCTTCACTCTAGATAAGTATGTAGTGTGCACATATAGGCTATATGTAGAATTGAATCATTAATTTAATAAAACAGCCACTTTTTGAATTACTGGTATATGAATGGAATAATAATACTGCATCATAACAACACTGAACCAGAAAATACAAGATAGTACTGTCTGTTATTAATATTTAATATATTTCTTTTTGCAATTGGCTGTGTACTTGTACTCTACACAATGACAATAACATTGAATCTAATCTAATGAAAAACCCCAGAGCAGGGGTCTTGCTTGATAATATCAAGAAAATTCAAATCCACTGATGATTTTCTTATGTTCTTTTGAGACATTCACACTGCATACACCCACACAGGAAAATTCTTCACAAATAATATCCCGTCCTGTCATTATGAGGAGATTTAATGGAAGATTGGACTAAGCTCAAGCAAGTGTATCTGAATTACATTACCAGATGTCTGCCCTGTCAGAAGATGAGGTCAGATGTGACATGAAACATGAATTATTTAAATTACTAATAATCTAAATCATGTTCTTTGTTTAAGTATAAAAATAAGTATAAAAAACTGAATCATTAATATTTAATGGTGCTAATGGTTATTACAATGGATATCTATAAATAGCTTTTATCTTATTACAGTAGAACATCCTACAACCCACTTATATTATAATATGCAGGCTACCAAGTCATATAGCATCATCCAAATGGAACTTGCTAAAGGTCCAAAAAAAAAGTAACATCTTCACTTTTCCTTGTGGATTACAGATAAGCAACACACCTCAATCAAACAATCTGATGGATATTGTCCTAAACACGGAACTGCCTACTGAACTAAATGTAGAATGAACATTTATTTTCATGTATTTTACGCTGATGTAGGTTCGAAGAAAATGTTCTGATAAAACAGTCATAATGTAGTTAATTGAAACAGATGAGATTATAAGAACAGGAAGCAGTTTTTTTCTTCAAAGCATTTTAAAACGCCTCTAGCCACATTCTGCAGAACAGAGAGAAGTGATGCCAGTCTGTGATGAACTCTAATGAGAGCCACTGGATTCACGGATCACCAGTGCCAATGATGTTTGCAGGTGCTCTCTCTCTCTCTCCTTTTTGTTTTTCATCTTTTTTCCATTCTGTTTGTGGGTGGTGTTTTGATATTTTAATCAAAGCATCTGCCTATCAAATCTGTCAAGTTATATTCTTCACATGCCCTTTATATTCATGTCTGAGCTCTTTTTGAGGTTAGACGTTTATTTTACTTCAACAATTGCTATTGATCTTGTTACTGGAACCAAAGCAAAGTCTGACCTGTAAGGCGAAGAAAAAAATCAGTAAAGAGTGTTAATGAGGTTGGTTTTTATAGGTGCATGTGAAATATCTTATTTAAAAGGCAGGCATTCAAATATTAAGTTTAAATAGAATTAATTTAGTAAGGACTTACAGCATGCAAACGTAATTTTGCAGAAAAACAAATGAATGCTTGTATTGATGGATAATGTCATCTTAGTTTTGATATACTGGAGCATAAGGAAAGATCCTCTAAACTCATTGTTAGTCTTAAAGCAAGCTTTGCTGGTCATTAAAGGGTTAACTGCAGCTTGGCTTTATTGATTTTGATTGGCTCACACACTAAATCTCATCTGGCCACAGAAAGGCATCAAGATCCAATTGGCAATTCCTTTAGAGTTTACTGAAAATATAATTGATTGGGAAGCCATTTAATTTACTTCTTCGTCAATGCTCATGTATGAGAACAATCAATAATCAAACAACTCAGCCAGCCATGTCGTAGACATCATATAATAGAACTATCTTTACTCTCTCTCACTCCCGCATGTTTTAAAGGAAAGTCTTAGGAGTAATGAACTATTTTTTTAATTTAGATCTTTTTTTGAGCTTTTTACTTTTTGCATTCCAACTGAACATCTAAGTGCCCATATAAATGTTAACAACCATACATGCATAGTGGAATGATTATACAGGATTTTACATTAAGAGCACAATGTTTGATTGAATCATAACTTACTGATTCAATCTTGTCAAGGTTTCACAATCTTGTCAAAAGTCATTTTAACATGATTATTTTATCTGTGAACATATTCATTATGGATATAGTACTTAAGGGGATGCACAGTAAAAGACATTCCAAACGGTGTCAACCAATGGATTTTTCTCTTTACTTGTGTCTTCAAAGTATCGTCCCTC